GAATCTAGCAAAAGAGCAGTAATTGGAAGTGGATTACACCAGCTGCCTAGCTAAATGCCTGTCTTTATAGAACACCAGCTGCCTAGCTAAATGCCTGTCTTCTTTATAGGGAAACCTTTGTTTATGTCTTCTTTTAATTCCTTCTCTATTTCTTTTTCATTTGCTATTTCCAAGATTAGGCAGAATTGGTAAAAAAAAGGTAGCCCCACACCTGCCACGGTGACATTGAGATGTGCATTGTCCTCTTCTACTTTCTCCATGCTGGCTCAGCCATGATTTTAACACCAAGATTGGTGGTGATGGTGGTGTTAGCGGTGGTGGTAAATATGGTAAGAAGGAAGAAAAAGGATTAAACGTATAACTTGGTGAACTCAATCTCATTCCTCTAGTCCCTCAGAGCAAGTGAGGGGAAAAAAAAGACTGTGTGAAGGGATTTTAGGGAAATGGGAAAGGCAAGAAGGGAAAGGACTGGGTGGGTTGGAAAACATTTTTAGGATGTATGGAAACATGGATTTGCAAAAGAAAGAGAGAGGTGTATTGTGTGGTGCTGTGTGGACTTTCAAGAGAGAGACAGATGCATATGAGCAGCTTCCCCTCAATCTTCTCTTCCCACTGTTTTGCTGAAGTCCCATCATCACTGAGGAATGGGGAAAGCTGAGACTGCTGTTGGGAGGGCAGAGCAGGGATGCTCAGTCCTAGATGGAAATCAGGCAGAGGGAATGCTTGGTCAGCTTAGCTTTGAATGGGAAAGAAAGAAGCCAAGAGGCAGAGAAAGAAGAGGAGAGAGAGGAGGTGAGAGAATCTTGGATGCTTTGTTAATTTAAAAGTGCAGTAGCACAGCAGACCCTGTATGTGATTTCACTGATATGAATTTCAGGCCTTTCCTTCTCAGAGAGCAACAGGGAAGTAAACAAGAAAGGCAGAGGTGACATTTAACCTTTGCCTCCCTAAAGAGCAGAGGGAAAGGGCTGTCAGATGCAAGGAGGTCAAAGGAGCTCTGACCGTTACCACCCACCACTGGGAGAAAGACTCATCCTTGCTTGTGTTTTGGAGAAGACAAACAGATCTTGATGGAAAGAAAACCCATTACATATCTTGTTGTAATGGCTTTTAAACACCTTTATTTACCAGCAGTAACAATAACTTCCTGTTGGTATCAAGGCACCACCAGCTAAAGATAAAGGAATCTCTCAACTGATGGTGCATGGGGTCAGGAAATAATTCTCCTGCTCTTGCTGTCTAGCTGTGCATAATTGACCCAGTGAATTATGGATGTGAAATGGGGAGATCACCATCTTCCAATGCTACAAGCACCATTTGGGCAGAAGACAAGGACCAACATCGTACAGTTCAGTACAGCAAATACTGTTGTCGCTTTTAATACCCACAATATTTCAGCTGCAGAGACATCAACCAAAACCCAAAATACTTAACGCTAATGTAGATAAGTTTACTATATTTTCCAGGCTTTATCTCATCCTTGGCTAAGCTAAATTCTGATCAGTAGTGTAAATCCAGACTCTCTGTCTTGAAAATGTTTGCTGACAAATTGGAGAAGAAATTAACTCAATTGAATAAGTTTTATTTCTAGCCACCTTTACATGCTGAAATGCCATGAAACGTACCTAACATGGCCAGTCCCTGATTGTCCCCCCTCTCCCCTCTTAGTTTCTAAAGATAGTTCAACTAGCTTCAGTTTATCACTGAATAGTTGGGGTTGGAAGTGATCTCTGGATATCATCTAGTTCAGCACCAGGAGGAGTTGGAGCAATTTTTTATGTACAAGATGAACTACTAGAACTGAGGAGATGGGAGCCAGCTACACTTTGCTGCTTTTGTTTGTGGTTAGTAAAGAGTAGGTTTCTTTGTCACATATCCCACACTTTGTTTAGAAAAGAAAAATGCTGAGTGTCCAAAACAAAGTTTCTGCCTTCCTATTCCTGTTAAACGTGAGATCCTAAAACTCAGTGGCAGACAACAGTAGAATTACTGCTTCGGATACTGAAGTACAAGCTTTCTCAAGCAAAAGGTAGGGGGTTCAGTGAGAAAGATGAGGTGTGGACTGCAGGAGATCATCTCTGCTTAATTTTGCTTTGCTTAAACCAAGTATTGACTGACATACGAGAAGATGCACATCTTGAGAGTTAACAAAGCCTGGTCCCAGAGATTATGACCCCAGATTCTCAAAACATTTCCTACTTTTAGAAATGCAATTAGGTCCTTCACCTGAGGTAGCTATTCTCACAACCATATCTTCTGTACTTGTATGACCTTTCCCAAGTCCATGTGTGGGGCACAAAGAAAGCCTGGGCTCCCTTTGTCTTCCTTGGCAGTCTAGGGAGGAGGGTAACCTCTAGACTTCCTTGCATTAAGCTTTTGAATTTGACCCCCTTGGATCCTGGAAAGCCCCTGAAACAAGTTCTGTGCTTTGTCATCAGTATTTTTTTCACTGGGCACGTGAATTCCCTAACTATTGTGCAACTGACAAGAGGAAATGACACAAATCTTGGCATTTTACAAGAAAAAGCTCCAAAGCCTTTCACGGTTTCACAACTGTGCCAACTTGCAGATGTTTAAAAGTGATGAATAAGACCCCCTAAAAATCATAACACTGATCAGCTTAAAAATTGTTATTTTTTTTTCTTTTTCAGTGGTTAAATCTGTGGCTTCTTTTCACTTCTCTTGTGGTTGTCAAGTCTTCAGGGCTCAGGACTTGGTTCACATTTTCAACCTTTTTTTGTTCGCAGCAATTCATGTCTGGAAAGGTATTTCTTTTTTAACTGCAAGCTGTGATTTGCACACATAACAGCAGAACTCTGGGAGGAGTCATGGATCAACACAAAATATCCTGACACTCAAAGCAATTGCTGGAGTTGGTAATATGGATTCATTACTGCTGTTCTAGTGGCTTCTTGGAAACAAGTAAGTATGTTTTTAAGGAAGTTAGAAATTTAAACAGAAAAAAAAATCTTGATAAAAGAAGCCAGTAGCAAATAACTGGTCTACTATGACAAAGATGGTTCTTAAACTCTGTAAGGATTTGTGGGAAATTATTTTTCACGAGGTATGTGCTAGTGGTCTCTTTGGTGCTTGCATCCCTGAGGAGGATATGTACATCCTCTAAAGTGTTCCTGGAGGTATTCGCTGTGAATTCATGCAAGAATTCACAAAGTTTAGCATCAATTTTCTTTAGCTTTAAGCAACTTCTCAGATGTATTTCACTTGCATTGTAAGTGTAAAAGGCGGTGGCCACTCAATGAACCTGGAGGGTGGGGGCTTG